CTATAAAGACCATGTTTTGACCAAATTTTCTACGCCGCAGGCAAAATAAAAAAAAGGTGCCAAAAAAGCGTTTTAAGGGACTTTTTGGAAAAAGTTGACCAAAAAATCGATTTGTTTTGGCGCGCACTCTCCCTTCGAAATAGGATATATTGGCGTCAAAGGAGGTTTTGGTAAATTTTTAGGGTTAACCCGCTAAAAATAGATAACTCAAAATACTACAAGGGATACCCTCTGGGTTTGCAGGGGGTCGAATCCCCGAGGAGGGGCTTCCCATCCCACCGAATTCACTACTGCCGCCCCAAAAAATAACAAAAAAGAATACTTTTTGAAAACCTTTGTTTTTTCGACTATTTAAAAATGAGGAGGACTTTTGTAATCCGGTGTGTTTTAATAAAAGATTTTCCTCGGAAAAGCAGATACCACAAATAATCATCAGAATTGGTCAAGTGATGTATAATATTAAAGCGCTTTTAATCTTGACTCGAACAAATTTAAAAAGTTTCAATATTTTTGAAATTATTGTCGAGAAAAAACCGTTTTAAACGTTCGATTTTCTTTCAAAATTTTTGCAGACCTATGTTATTTTACTGTCCACTCGGCTAAATGCTAGGCTTTCTTCCGATCCTTTTTCACGCCAGGAACAAAAAAATTGTTTCTAATTAAAAAAAATTTAATTTGTTTTTTTTAAACACGGTCATAACATTCTGTGCTCCTTGCACAGCAGTAGGCTTTTTCATTATTTCTGTTTCTTTTTGAAATTTCAAAATTTTAAGGAGGTCCGCTTCAAATTGGTGACTTTTTTTGGAAAGTTCCCTGCAACTCCTCTGCAGCCAGTCTCTTTTATTGTTCCGACCATTGAGCATGTGGAAAAACATACCCTTCCTTCTGTGTTTTAGGGTTTTTGTTTTGCACGTAAAACCAGGCACACAAATGATCATCGGAATGGGTCAAATGATGAATATTTTAAAGGATTGGAATGACAAACATTTCTCTGTAAAAATGTTTTGCCACGAGAAAAACATGTTTGAAGCTTTTGAATTTCAGTCTCATTCAGAGCTATTAAAACGATCGAGTAAAATTCGTTATCTGGAAAATTAAATTTAAAAAAATAAAACGTTTTTATCTGAAATAAAAATATCAGCGCTTCCTAGATAGAAATTTAGCTTAACTTAGCGCTATCTAGGCAAAATATTCTTCCACCAAAATTTTTTTAATTCTGTTGTGAAATTTTTGTTGTTGTTTTTTTTTCAAATTTTCTTCTTTTTTTTGTTTGTTGTTCAAGTTTTTCGAAAGAATGATGTCAATAAAGGCTAATTCAGTAATTTACTGCACGTTTGTTTATATTTTTTACCAAACCACGGGCAAAATTACTTCGATTCGTGTTTTTTTTGTAATTTTTTTGATGCAAAGGTCAAACATTCTATGCTATTTTCACAGCAAATGCTAAATTTTTCTCGGAAAAGCAGAGAACACAAATAATCATCAGAATTGGTCAAGTGATGTAAAATATTGAAGCCCTTTTATTCGTGACTCGAACAAATTTAAAAAGTTTCAATATTTTTGAAATTATTGTCGAGAAAAAACCGTTTTAAACGTTCGATTTTCATTTAAAATTTTTGAAGAGCTATGTTATTTTGACGTTTACTCGGCTAAATGCTAGGCTTTTTTCTGATCCTTTTTCACGCCACGGACAGAAAATTGTTTTTCATTAATCAAAATGAATTGTATTTTTAAACACGGTCATAACATTCTGTACCCCTTGCACAGTAATCGGCTTTTTCATTATTTCTGCTCTATTTGAAATTTCAAAATTTTAGTGAGAACCGATTCAAATTGGTGATTTCTTTTAGAAAGTTTCCTGCAACTCCTCTGCCGACAGTCTCTTTTTTGTTCCGACCATTGAACCTGTGAATGAACATATAATTCCTTTTGTTTTGTGTTTTAGGCTTTTTGTTTTGCAGGTAAAATCAGGCACACAAATGATCATCGAAATGGGTCAAATGATATATATTTTAAATGATTGGAATGAAAAACATTGCTCTGAAAAAATTTGCGGCAACGAGAAAAACATGTTTGAAGCTTTTGAACTTCAGTCTCATTTCGAGCGAGTAAAACGATCGAGCAAAGTTCGTTATCTGGAAGTTTTAATAAAAATTAACGTTTTTATCTGAAATAAAAATTTCAGCGCTCCCTAGATAGAAATCTAGCTTAACTTAGCGCTCTCTAAGCGCAAAATTTTTCCAAAATTGTTATAATCCTAATGTGAAATTTTTCTTCAAAAAAAAGTTGTTTTTTTTTTCTTGAAATTTTCTTCATTTTTTGTTTGTTGTTCAAGTTTTTCGGAAGAATGATGTCAATTAAGCCTAATTCACTAATTTACTGCACGTTTGTGTATACATTTTTTTATCAAACCACGGGCAAAACGACTTCAATTAGATTTTTTTCTTAAGTTTTCTTGAGGCAAAGGTCAAACATTCTATGCTACTTTCACTAATCGGGAATCCTTTTTCTTGTACATTCATATAATAATTTCATATGTTTGTTTCAAAGACAACTTGATAAGACTTTGTTCCGAGGAATTTTTCTGCCAAAAAGTTTTGTGCTGCAGCCAAAATTTTAGTCAACCTATCAAAAGCATATTTCGATGCTGTTATGTCAACCTATCAAAAGCATGTGTGCATATTTCGAGCTGTTATTAAAAAAGAATAGTCCTTTTTGTGCCAACCAAATTTGGCCCAAGTTAATAAATTTTGAATGTATGTCTGACAAAAGTTTAGTTGACAAAAAACTTGGCAACCAAAATGCAATGGGCAAGAGAGGTAGCCCACTCCTTGTAGTTTACTGATTTTAACATCTAGCTAAAATAGAGTCGGACAGGTCATGAGTTTCAGGTCATGAGCCAAATAAAACAAACCCTATATAACTCAGCAATAAGCCCCAGCAATAAATCACTGTCTTTGTATCAACGGTACACTACAAAACCAAGTCTGCTTATTTTCTCAAAAATTCTAACTGCTCTTTTTGTACCAATTTCAACATGATTAAACATTTTTAGTAGGAAAAGTTATGAAAAATATTGTGAATAAAAAAAATGGGCGGAAAGTGCTTGTAATGTTTTTACACTGCAAAGGCTCAAAGATAGCGGTTGATTTGCACATAACTCCGAATCGTTGCATTTTTTAAGAAAAAAAAAACACCCACGCTTATTTTTCGTCATTTTGAACGATATTTGGATTAATTATGGCACTTGGGGCGTACAAACGAAAGGTGAATCTTGAAAATTTTTGTTTTAAGAAAAATGCAAAACTAAAAATTAGGTGCTTTGTCTTGACATGCGTTAAAATTTGTATTATGCGTTAAAATTTGATCTTATGCATATTTCGATACTGTTCTTTGCCTATTTGTCAAGACAAAGAACTTAATTTCAAGTTGTGTATTTTGATAAGAACAAAAGTTTTAAAGATTTGATTTTTTTTGCTCCCTAAGTGCCATAATTGTTTCAAATATCGTAGAAAGTGATGGAAAATGTGTGCGAGTCTTTTTTCTCCAGACAATCTCAGATTTTGAAGGGAATTTTGATGTCCTGAGTTCACCTGCAATTGTTTATCGCGAAGCTATGAAGTTTTGAAAATTGCCAGATTGCTCAGTTTGCGAGGAATTAAAAACGATATATTTTTTTTCTATTAACACTTAAGCTGCGAATTGATCGCCGTCGCAAAATTTGTTGCAAATTGAAATGAGGCATGCTAATAATTGTTACTACTTTCGAAGAAAGTAAGGAATAAGGTAGTCGGTTAGGTTATTTGACCAGAACAATGCTCAAATATAGTTCCCTATAGGGCTCGATCCTCAGATTTCTGTAGTTCCAGAAGGAGTTCGATCACTACTACACTATCGTGGATTAATGAATAGTGTGAAACGCTCACAAATAGACTAACGTGAATATAAGAGCGCAGTGATACATTGATGCTAAAAGTTAATTGCACGTTATTTATGAGTGGCAAAAAATTCCGAACCATAGAGTCGTTATTCAAATGAGGCAGGCTAATTGGTCTTATTAATTCCAGTCACGATTCATAATTTTGAGCTTAAGATTCATAGTTTGTCAGTATTTCATGAAACAAAAACTATTCGAGACCAGTTTATGGACAGTCAGAACATTCAGGAAGTTGCCCTGATATGAGCAGTTTTTTTCTAATTAATAATTTAATGTACGCTTAACGCAGTGCTAATTGTTTCGTCTTGCGAAGAAAATGACGGAATATTTGTTCTCGGTATAGTTTTTCTCCGGACCGACTTCGATTTTTGAACTAGCCATTTCTGAACAAAAGATTATACTATCTGAAAAAAATGACGTGTTGAGCACATATTTAGAATGAAATTCAGACTGTGATCATTTTTTGAAATATTAAGGTGGTCTAAAAATTGCCATTCGATTAGGTTGGGACATCTAACGAGCGAGAAACTAAAGCGTGCTATTAAAGCGTGGGACAATTTCGTGCTATTAAAGCGTAATCGGCAACTAAATACGCTCATACAACGCTTCAAAATGAGTTGAAGCCAGTTATTTGGTGTGATTAATAGGTTAAGAAACAATAAGAACACAGTTTTGTGCTTGGCATAGCATATGAAATTAATTAATTGAAAATTCGAGAAAAAAGTTCAATTTCTTTTTCTTTTTTTTCAGAAAGTGTTCAACAATTTTTTTCTAATTAATGGTTTCAAAAAATATTTCAATTTAATTGAAGGGTAGCTGAAATTTTTAGAGCTTTGTCCTGACACGAACAGAAATTGGCGGACAAATTGGCGGACAATAATTAATGGAAACTAATCAAATAAGGTGCAAATTTGATATATTTTTGTCAATTATGCCAGTAGCTTAAGCACAATTTTTGATTGACTCAAAACATGCAAAAAATGATGCCTTTAGGACCTTATTAAAACTGCATCATATAAAAATGTGCATAGTTTAATTGTTGGAAGCAAGGCATATTAAAAAAAAACTAAGAATCCAGCTCTTCATATGTTATGGTACTTCTTTTTAGTAATTCATGAAATATTTGAAAATTGGTTATTGTTTACGGGTTGGTAAGCGCAAAAACTTCTTATAGTTGAAAAAACTTTTTACACGTAACTTAGATACAGTTGAGAGTTTCAAAATTTAAAGAAGGACAAAGCAAAGAACATGTATGAAAGAACGTGCAGAAAAATAGGAATGGAAAAAGAGTTCAAGGAAATTTAGGTCAATAGAAAAGAGTTTAGAGAATGCTGCTCGTTTTTCTGATCTGAGGCGTCACGGGACCCGATGGTCTCCAGGGTTTTTTGGACTGCGATGTCGATGATCGGGATCTCATCTGGGACCTGGAAGCTACTGATGCTGCTGATGATTTGTTTCCTTTTTTGGTTGACTCGGCCGTTTGCTGGCGAGACTGGACTGCAGACCTGGCTGTGATTTCAAGAGTTGAGGTCAATTTGGTGGCTCGTGCCAGAGCGTCAATTGCTGGGAAAAGATCAACCGGATTAGACAAATGAGAGAAGGTGAACGATATGCATGGAAATGAAGTGATGGCTGTTTGTACAACGTTTTAATGATTTTAAACTAAATATAGTTATTATCAAACAGAAGAAAAATTTGCAAAAATGTTTAAAGCTCGCAAAAAAACATTGAAGTAACAAATAAGTATTGGTAGATTTTTAACTAGTGCAGCATTCGGAAACTCAACTTTTAGTTCTAGTTTGGTGTGAACTGAATGTGAAGGATAGAATACTAATACTCAACTGACCTAAAGGCAGCATGGCAACCATTGAGCCGAACATCCTTCTATCGCTGAAGTTCATCTGGAACAGTTCGTCGTGTCGCATGTCATGCAAATCCTCCTGGATGCGCTTTTCCAGCTCATTCTCAACTACGTCATAGTCAGGCTGCGTAATCTCGTTCACATACTCTAGTGCTTCGGCTACTCGGATTTTGAGTACTTCGTCAGTCACCTGCAAAAATACCAAAAGTTATTGACAGCAAGTCAATATTTGAATATATAATTCGCTAAAACTTTCGAAGTATAAGAAATTTCATCAACGTTGTAACAAAAAAATAACCCTCTACCCCTATACTGTAAAAAAAATTTATATAGCTCCCTTGCTCTGTGAAAAAAATCCCAACTCAGTGAAAACCTTACAGCCTCCAACCTAGTAAAAAATATAGCCCCTTCAGCAGCGGATCCAGGGGGGAGGGGGGGCGTCTGAGGGCGGACACTTTTTTTCTTCAGGAATTTGACCCCCTGCCGACCCAAAGGGTCCCCCTTCTTTGTACTTATCTGAGATATCCATTTTGGTGACATATCCTAAAATTTTTCTAAGGGCGCCTTTGGCGCCAATATATACTAATTTTGAGGGGGGAGCGCGCGCCGAAAAAACGCGATTTGTTTATCATAATTTCAAAAAAGGGCCTAAAAACGCCTTTTTTTATACTGTTTTTTGGAAAATTTGCCTGCGGCGCAGAAACTTTGAGCAAAACAGAGTCAATAGCCACGGGAAAATCAATATGGTCGACCTAACAGAAGGGTCGACAAAATTTTCATTGTCAGTGGCTATTGTTTGCTAGGGCTAGGGGCTATGACGGCCCATTTTTTCAAACTGTATAACCTTGCCTCTGAACCTCAGGCAAAGTCTTCACGGAGTTTAACCGTGTAGTAAAACTGTATGTATAAGTCACACAGGCTCTGGGTCTTTCTCATTATTGCCCCTCCAGCCTAGTAGCAAAAAACTTATACCCACTCCAGTTTGTCAACTTTTAATTGATTTTAAAGCAATTTTGGTTTTCCATTCGAAAACTCATTCATGCAAAAGTGCATGTATGTTTTTGTTGAAACTGAACTAGTATTGAACTAAATACTGAACTTAACGGATCAAGTTAATATCCCCCCCACAAATAGCTCCTCCACTCCAGCGCTTAATTATTAATTTTGCTAAACGCTGTGTCACATAGTGTTCATTTAGTTCAACTTACAGCCGTCAATAAACTGTCAATCGTGGTGCTAATTAATCTATTAGCAGGTGCTGTCCTTGGTATTGTCTGTCACCCTTGGATAACCTTTAGAGTCACTCTTAATGTTAACTTTGTGAGATTAAGTTGATTATCAATTGGAATTTACGTATTGAACAATTAACCTTTTCAACATGGCGCAGCCAGCAGTCTCAGGTGGTGAGAAAAGTCCACTGGGCATTACAGGATTCTGGCCAGCGAAATGTACTGAACCGCCTATGATGTGGGAGTTCTGGATTAACAGATTCCAATGGGGAATGGTGGCAAAGCACTCAATCAACTCGAAAAACTACTGCTACGCAGCGACTCTTACTTCAGCCCAAGTTACCGCTTTACCCGAGGAAGTTGATGGGAAAAATTGCTTGGAATTGGAACAAATACTTATTTCAAATTTGTATTTGTGTCTAGGGGAAAAGGGGCAAGACAAACTACACAAAAGACGACCACATCTGGATCTTTCAACGGTTCGTTACCCGAGGATGTTAGACGTACTGGAAACGGAATTCAAGAAGGAAAGGAACGAAACATACGTGACATTCCAGCTTCTCTCTCGGAAACAATTCATCAATGAAAGTCTGGAGCAATTCCATTCCGTTCTGAGCGGACTGGCAGCCCGATGCAATTTTGGAGTGTTGGAGGATCGTATACTCAGGGATGTATTCATTGTAAATATGAATAACCGCGAAGCACAAAAGGAATTGTGCGGGTCAACGAAAACACCGGAAGAGGTTTATAGGATCGCCCTCTCGTATGAGCGGGAAAACAAATATGCCTCATCTTATGTTGGCACGGTATCTGTGGGAACCCAAGGATCGTCATCAGGAGGTGGAATCCAGATCAAAACAGAACCGGTCGGGACGATACGAGGAGGATATCGTAATAACCGTGCAAGGTGCCGAGGCTCATATCAAGGGCGAGGCTCAAACCGAGGGGGAAATTTGCTCCAGAACAACCGATGCCACAACTGCGACCAACCGAATTTTTCAAGAGAACATTTGGATAGATGTCCCGCAAAAAGAGTCACGTGTAAGTTTTGCCATAAAATTGGACATCTCGAACGTACCTGTAGGGGGAAGCGTGGAAATCAGCGAGGACGGGGAGCAGTAGGAATGATACGTGAGAATGCAGACGATACACATCTGGAGAATTCGGCGGATGAGGAAGCGTCCCAACACGCAAGTTCCATTGGATGGGTTAATAAGAATCCAGTGGTACATTCGTTGGACTCGAGTAGCTCAGATGGGGATTACATGGTAATGGCAATAAAACATAAGCGATTCACGGAATTAAAAGTCACTGGGGCACAGTTGCCGATTAGAATAAATGTGAAATCTACTCGTGTGTGGATCGACAGCGGATCTCCGCTCTCAATTTTCACCATCGGGGAACTGAGAAGAACCCTTGGAGCTTCGGGGATAAAACTGGGCACTCTCTCGAAGGAGGATAATTCATTTCGAGATTATGGGAACAATCCACTGCAGATGATTGGAACAATGGCCGTAACTTTAGAATCCAATGGCTGGAAGATCAACGCGAGAATAAAAGTCATCGGAGGTAACCGCCCATCGATAACTGGAAGAGACCTGATGCCTCAGCTAGGATTACAGTTGGTGCAGCAATCACCAGGGGACCAGATAATGTCCATCAATGAGGTGGACAAGGAAACAACGGTGCAAGAGGGGGAGCTGGACTCTTGGCAAACTTACTTCAGTAAGCAGTTTTCAAATCTTTTTAATAGGGTAGGAAAAATAAGAAATTATAAAGTCCAAGCTGATTTTTTTGAAAACTTCACACCGGTACAACAGAACGGACGCAAGTTCCCATTTCCTTGCAAGAAAAAGTAGATACTGAAATCGATAAACTACTGAAACAAGGTCAAATTGAAAAACTGACTGAATGCTCGGATAAATATTTCGTATCCCCAATCGTAATAACAGTAAAAAAAGATGGGTCTGTAAAACTAGCGCTCGAGTCAAGGGAACTAAATAAACAAGTGCATAAGAACAAACACCAAATGCCGAATATTGAAGAATTAATGGACACAGTGGGGCAAACGATCAGCGAGAAGAAACCAGGGGACATTTTTCCTACGACGATGGATCTAACTTACGCGTACGGTCAACTGCCGTTAAGCGCTGAAACGAGTGTACAGTGCAAATTTTCTCTCATCGGAGGTCGGTCAACGGGTACGTACCGGTTCAAAGCCGGATTCTATGGTCTGACTACAAAGCCAGCGGAATTCTAGCGCGCAATGGATTGTATGTTCGCAGAATACCCGCAGGCACTTGCGTTTATCGATGATATTTTGGTAGTAACCAAGGGAACCGCGATTGACCATATAGCAACGGCAGAGAAAATTCTTAAAAAACTGGATCGGGAAAATATGTCGCTAAACCTAAGAAATGCAAGTTTGCCCAACGGGAATGCGAGTGGCTAGGCCACAAAATTACTTCCACCGGAATAACTCCATTGGTACGAAAAACAGAACCGATAGAAGCATTAACGCCGCCGCGGACTCTAACGCAGTTAAAATTGTTCATGGGATCAATACACAGTCTTCATTAGTATTTGCCAGCGTTACCTGAATCGTCCGCGCCGTTGCGACCATTATTAAGTGAAAGCAATGAACACATTTGGACCCCCGAATGTCAGAATGCGTTCAAAAATCTTAAGAAACAAGTGTCTAACATTGTTGAACTGCGACATTTTGATATTCACAAGGATATTCGTATAGTGTGCGATGCAAGTCATAACGGGGTAGGTGCCGTACTCGAACAATTGGGACTGGAAGGGTGGAGACCGATTTCGTTTGCTTCACGGTATCTTAACGATGCGGAAAAGAAAATTCAACGAAAGAATTGGAAATGTTGGCAGTTGTGTGGTGGGCTGAATATTTCCGAAATTACATACTGGGACGGAATTTTTTAATAGTGACCGATCATAAAGCTTCAATCTCTCTTTTGAATGAAAATAATAAGAAAAACAAGACAATGTTTAGCCGTTTAACGCGTTGGTTAGACCGTCTCTTTCCCTTTGATTTTCAATATGAACATAAACCAGGGGCAAAAATTGGGCTGGCAGATTATTTATCACGTCATCCATGTAAAGAAGCAACGCCAATTAGTACGTACGATAATATGTTTACTGTGGCGAAGATAAACTTAATACGTACCGCTCTCGGGTTCTATAGTAGTAGTGCGTCCAGGGGATACAAATCATCCAATAATTCATCCAAGGGACCGCATATCAAAGCGGAAAGTAAGCAATCTATAAATCTTTCGAGTTTCGTCACGAGATAAACCGGTAGAGGGCGGAAAGCCATGCGAACGGGAATCGACCAATCAGAATCGAACACATGACTTAAACCGACGGCTAAGCAATATTCGCAGTAAATTAGTCGGTGCTATTACTCAATCAAAGAAAAGTTGTTCAAATTTATCAAATATAAAAATCCAAAATTTAAAACCTCAAATCAAAATGGACAAAAATATGAGGAATGGCAGAAATTCTTGCAACAACACCCGAGTTTAAATAGCAGCAGTGATGAGATAGAAGATTTATCACCAAATAACGTATCTTTAGAAGCCATAAATAAAGAAACTAATTCAGTCCGGACAAACACTACCCTCTCGTTACCCTCGCATTCAAAAGTGACGCGATTCCATCCGTGGATCCGAATTCAATATGCATGTCAATTATCCCTCGTAATTGCAAGATTGTAAACAAGATTACCGCATTACTTGACTTGTTTAATCTAAAATTCATAGAGTTCAATTACGTTTCTGACCCCCAACTGAGCGTGATTCGCGATCTCATAGTTTCAAAGAATCCTAATATTCATGAAAAGGTTCCTGCTATGAAGCGTTATTATTCACAATTTGTTAGTGACTTCAAAGAGAACGTCGTGTGGATGGATGAAAAACTTGTAATACCGATGAACCTCCAA